AAGGAGGATTTTAAAAGTTATGTTGATAATGCACATTCTTTCGAGAGTAAAGTTGTTTTTTTCCCTAGAGAAAAACATTTTGTAAGTGTTGCCTGGAACGTCCATTAAAGTTTGTTTGAACATTAGTCATTTTAAACTTTAGAAAATTGAGTCTAAAATGTTATGATGGATAATCAAAGTACTTTTTGTAATATCCATTCGAATTTCCTGTGCTTTATTGGACATGGAAACTTGGCATTTGGACCGATCTTTTTATTTCTATTCTATCGATTTAAATCATTAACAGACGAGTCGATGACTAATGAAGTTGTCACATTCTGACTCGGGGGCTTAATGAAAAAAACTAGGTGATGTTGTTTCCGTAAGAATAGACAGGCGTTGAAATGGGACTCTTTCACTGACTGATCATGTCATGCCAGCATTTTTTACTACAAACAGGTGACCTTCCGTGCAATATCTCTCACTCGAACTTGACGCATGTGTTATTATCCCCCTTTCATGCCAGAAGTCGTATGGACAGACTTTCTATCTTCAATTCATGACAGATAGGAACTTCGCATATAGTTTCCAACACGCAACAACAGCAAAACATCTCTAAAGCACATTTTGCTTTCTTGAATGGAGCGTTCGCATGTGTGGGGTATTTGCGATTTAAGTACTTTATCATGCGTGACATTTCGCGCGAAACACGATGATGCCACTAGTTTTCCAGAAACGAGCTCTAAAGTTTAAAAAAAGTTCTCAAAGTTGAGGTCGTAATGGAGGTGACACCCGACGCTATCTTGAGAGTCCACCTTCATATCTAGTCAGATTCGCCGTACAAAGGAAGGGAGCAAATACGTTAGCAAAGTTGCCGTGTTATCAGTTTTTGAGTCCCTAAAAAAAAGCAACCCTGTTAATGTATATCGACGGTGTAAGTCGGCAATCACAAAACACGGTTTGCAACGTCGCAGATTTCCTGTCATACTTTATTTTTTAAATGGAAAACAATTCAAAGGTAATTCTTTAAAACTGCCGTAATTTTTCTTCTCTGTGCCAAGAAAATTCTGCATAAACTTCAAGGAATGATGTCAATTTGTTCTCCTTTAAAAAAAATAACATTAAGGCGGAGATTTTCAGACACCACAAACGAGATATGTGATTGCGGACTTACGCCGTCGATATATTCCTTGCCTTCGCGGGGAAATTTTGACGTGATATAGAGGTTGCCTCTCAGAATAGCTTGAGGTATCCCCTCGATTACGATCTCAACCTAGAGAATTTTTTTTTGACATTTTGAGTTTAATTCAGGGATAAATGAAGGCACCGTCATGTTTCGCGCGATATTTTACGTACACTGAAAAAAACACTTTAATCGTAAATCTCCCACACATACAAGCGCTCCATGGAACGTTAAAAAAAGAACAGACCGACGTACTGCCGTCGAATGCAACGGGTGTTTTTTAGTTTTTTTTTTGACAGGTTTAATGGCTTATACCTCGTCTCAGGGGTCTACAGTCAACTGTAGACAGAAATTTAATGTCCTTAGACAACAGGGCGATAGGGACATCCATGCTCCGGCTTTCAAATTGTCATGGATGAAGGCCGAGTAGAAACTGTTTCTACAGATCCACTCGTCAGTTCCGTGAAAATTTGCCGCCACCACCGGGATCCGAACCCGGGACCTATTGGTCAGACACGCTGACCGCTAGTCCAACCTGGCCGTCCAAAATGTAACGTTTTTAAGACTCACTTGTGGTGTAGGATCCGCCGTATCTGACGACGGCTTCGTGGGTGGGGAGCATCTTGTAGGTGAGTCGGAAGTCGAAGTTGTAGCCGGTTTGATTCTTGGAGAGCCTGAGGAGTCGCACGATGACCTTTAGGGTGTCCGTCTCGCTGAAGTAGTGCGCCGGGGCCCACGAGGTCCCGCACCAGTCCCCGCCCACGCTCGGACGGTCCGCTTCCAGGATCTTCATGTTCCCGTCCGGACAACCGTTCGTCGTGAACGACGTGAACCGACCCAACGTGAAACTATCGAATGTCAACTGGTAACAAGAAAAAAAAAAACAATGTAAAATTTGAAATATTAAAAAAAAAAGTTAAAAAATTTAAAAGGATTAATATGAAATTTATTACAATCTGCGGGCTGATTGTTGAAATTGGTAGACAAAGTTATATGAGGACTTATCTTTAACAATAGCGGATGTGAAAAATTACCTTTTCAAAACACGCTTAAAAAACGGTTTTGTTCACACAACAATTAGTATGTTTGGCTCTGGCATAATGTACAGATCTCGAAGATCACATCTCAAGTATTTTCTCAAAATTTTCTCGATGCCAAAACAGTTTTTTAATGTGTTTCGAAAAGGTAATTTTTCACATCCGCTATTGTTACAGATAAGTCCTCATATACGAAGTAGACAACAGGGGTATCGAGGAAGCCTATTGGTGAAAGTGGGTGGTTGAGATGGACAAAACAGGTAGGCAATAGACTAACTAACGACAATCCACAGGCAACCCGATGGTTAGTGCATCATATTTTCCCTTAGTTTTTAGTCCATTTGTTTGTTTGTTTGATCTCGGAGAAAAATATATAATTGAGATTTTTTGTTATAATGAGGGAGCGCCAATTCCATGACGAACAATTCACTGAAACTATCTGCACCTTTTTGGTGCTACAGGACTTAATTATCCGTGAAGAAAGTCTAATCTTGTTACACCTGAACCGAATAAATCTTTCGATTTTCCTCAGCTAAGGGCTCTCAGATTTTTCTTGATACAATAACTTCGCGACGGCACCGGCGTGTTATGGCGGTTTGAGCGACTATTTCGCCACGGAGGTGTTGTACAGTATCATACGAAATTGAAGGCACCCCAGCGTATCATGACGAAGTTCCCTCGCAAATTATATCGAGTGACGATGACAAAAAGAGAGCGGTAGTCGAAAAACTTACTCAGTCCTGGTATCTGTATTCGATAACGTTTAGCATGATATTTGAACTCCATTAGAGGAAAAAGTGACTTGATTCAAGCAGAAATATGCTCGAATTTACCTCCAAGAAGATTTTCTTATGAATCAAAAAATAATATAATGCTTGTTTAAGGAAGAAATGGTGCTTGTATAAAAAAAATCACTTGCATCAAGCATAAACCCGCTTTCATTCAGCTATTTTATTCTTGATTCAAAATAAAATCTTCTTGATGGCATAATCAAGAATGTCTCTGCCCAAATCAAGTCACTTTTTTCTCTAATAAAATTCAAAAATTATACTAAACGTTATTAAATACGGATGCTAGGACTTAATGAGTTGTTGGACTACCTCTCTCTTTTTGTGCCGTAGTATCTTGATTTATTTTGCGAGGAAAGCTCCGAACTCATTAAGGATGCCTATCATCCTTAATATGTAGGAACGCCTTCAATTTCGTATGATACTGTGCAAAACCTTTGTTGTGAAATAGTTGCTTGATGCGCCCTGGCACGCTACGGCGCGGCAGGCGGCCGGTCATCTTAAGACGCGCATTGGCGTGGCGCCTACAAACCTAACAGGATACTTCACGCATTGCGCAATGCGTGAAGTATCCCTGTTAGGTTTGTGGGCGCCAGTGCGAGCTTCGCGTTGGCAGCACGCCGCTCCGCTCTGTGTCAGGCTCTAATACTTTTCATCTCGCGGAGTCAGCGTTTTTCAACTCATGATTTTGAAATGTTTGCCACTCTGCACGGATTATTCTCATTTAAATTGATGAAAAAAAAAAAAAAAAAAAAAAAAAAAAAATGTGTTTGAAAGGAAAATATGAGGTGTGTTTTGTAAATATGAAGGTGGTTCCGTGTCAAATTTTATGATATCTAAAGCACTTTAAGTTTGTTGTTTATATTTTGTGTTTTTAATGTGTTGCAGCGTGGTGCACGCGCAACTAAGCACTCAAAATTGGACATATTTGACTCTAAAAGATCTATGTACAAATGAGTTAAAACCGAAGACTACTTGATTTTTGTTTCCCCCCCCCCTCTTTTATTCACTTCTATGTCGTTTCTTTCAACACCACCGCGGCTCATTGATATTAATGTTGCTGCCATCTCTTGGAAAAAGTGACTTGATTCAAGCAGAGGTATGCTTTAATGCTTTAAGTAAACAAGATGTATCCAAAAATTCGTATTTCCAATTATCCGAAGAATTTTTAAGCTTCTTTGACTTGCTTAAAGTTGAGCTATCCTATATAGTAGCTATTTTCTGTAACCAATTTTCCCTGACCCACGTACCTGTATTAAATTTCCATATGAATTCCCAGCCGCTTTAAATGTTAGATAGCATAGGTAAGGTAACCGGTCCTCTTTTGGCCGGTGAAGCTCTAATTCATGGGTCCTTCCAACATCTCCATAATAGGTTTTGTTGCAGGCTGTAATAACATACATAAAAAATTAGTACGATGCATGTATTGTGGAACAAAAAACTAAGTACTTAATTTGTCATGCGTATAAAGAATTTGAGGACAGAATTCAGAGACATTATACTTAAGAGTAAATGTGTGGATCTGACCCTTAGTCTTCAAATTTTTAGGGGTGATCGTGGAACTAAGCGAAATCAGAAGAGGATTGGTTACGTAATATCCAGAAGCGTATTTTGATGGAAAAATTGTTCAAATTAAGAGGCAATAATAGATCCTGTCCAAAAACTAAGGGGCAGTTCTATTATTACGTAACGTACCTTTTCCGAT